TATATATATATATATATATATATATATATATGAAAGACATTGTTGGAGAGATTTGGTGGGGGTGGGTGAGGGGACTTGCATTTAAACATTGATTGTAAATACTACAACTGTAAGACAAGTATTAAAGAAATTGTTGGAGATGGTCGGTGGGTGGGGGGTGAGGCATACATTTAAATATTGATGGTAAATACAAAAACTAGGATATAAAATGAATTGATGTAAAGGGATAAGGGATAGGCATTGAATATGTATAACGAAGTAAAGTTGATGCTATTAATTTTAAGCAAGGCAATTGCAAGGCCGTGAAATAATTGATGTGTTTCTTAGCAGAATAACTAGATAGAAGTAACCGATTGCAGTTTTGTGCAACGTTATTATCTCCCTACTGTGCAGCTGATAAAGTTTCCTCTGGTCATCGATTTATTTGACTCTATATACAAATTAAGTCGGGGAGAAAAATCTCCAGAATCAACAACCTAAGTGGACAAGCGTAGTTATCACTGGATCTACCTCACTCTGGTTTTTAAGCGCGCGTGCATCAACGGATGCGCAATGTAGTTTTACTCACGCTGATCAAAGGCACACATGCAAGCAGCAGTTTATTTGCCAGCGGCGGCAACAAGGGGGGGGGGAGTTGAAAGGGTTCCCACTGCCCAACATGTTTTGATATGTTGTTTAATAATGTTTATTCTAAAGAGTATGGATAGAGAAGTTCAATATTTGTGCTTTCAATTTTTTTTCCAAATAAGCTGCGTTCACTTATAAAGGGGTAGTTATGATTAAAGCGTTTTTTCTCAAAGAAATATGTCCCATTTTAAATGAACCACCTCTTGCCTTGGTTCCATGCTAATCTTCTCTGTATCATGCCCATTTTTTGATTGTGTGAACAATACTTAAAAAATTCATATGAAAAAAATTACATTATAGAAACTTGTATTCGTGCTTTATATATAATAAATAAATAAATAAATAAATAAATAAAAGTAATAAATAAATAAACAAAGAAATAAACATATATATATATATATATATATATATATATATATGCTGTTATTGAGAAAAAAAAGATCAGTTCTTTCAGTGTGTGACAGTAAAGAACAGCACTTATAAAATACTGTTTAAAAAAACGATCCATGCGATTATGTATAAAGATAAATCAAGTAGGCAGTTCATCAAAACAAAATACAATCCTTTTTTTGTGTTAAATCTTAATTTAAATCATGTTAATTTTTTGTTTCAGAAAGGGACATTCATTTACTCGAGCAAAACGAGGAGACAGGAAATTAAGTCTTTAAAAATGTAATCGAGCAAAAATCGTGTTATTAAAGTACTGATTCGCATGAAAGACTTTATTTTCCCCAAACACTTTGTCACTGAAAAACATCTGTCTCTGGTAAAACCTTCGTGTTTATATGATACTGTGGCCAGGGGCGTAGCGAGGGGGGGTGCGGACCGCACCGGGTGACACCATTTAAGGGGGTGACACCAAGGCAAAAAATAGCAAAATATATAGAGAAAAACTTGAGGGGGGGGGGGTGCAAATCGAAAGTTTGAGGGGGGGGTGCAAATCGAAAGTTTGAGGGGGAGGGGGTGTGCAAATCGAAAACTTGAGGGGGTGCAAATCGAAAATTTGAAAGTTTGTCCCCGGGAAGGGTCGCTACGCCTCTCGGGGGTGACACCATTAAGTGCCGTACCGGGTGACACCCGACCTCGCTACGCCACTGACTGTGGCCCTAGGACGTCCACCTGAAAGATGATGTGCCTTGTTTACCCGACTCATGAACTTGTCATTTAAGTTGATCCTACAAGGTTCTATGAACAAGTTGTGAAACTCTTTTAAGGAGATACTCTTTGTGGCGTTACTAGGTAGGGTGTCACCCTGTGGGGTAACTGAGAGTGTCACCCCCTCCCCCCTCAATATTTTTGCATTTTTTGTGTCACACCTTTACCCCCACTATTTTGTTATCTTAACTGGATAAATAATTGTTTTGATAGTAAATTTTACGATTATTCGTCGTGGTGTCACCCCCCCCCCCCCTCAAAATAGTGACCCCCCCCCCCCCGCCCTTTCTCGCAGCCACCGTCATATATTGCAACTAAGTATAATGTAAATTATTTACCTCAATAAACTCATACTGTAACGTATATTCATTTTCTACGTCTAGCATATATTTCTTTTAACTATCGTGTACATTCAGTACTTCAATATTTAAATAAAATTGTGTAATATCTTATTTGAGTTGTATTGAAGGCGTGAGCTAACGTCTTGTGTTGTGTGAGTATCAAATCTTGCTGCTAGTGCTCATCCATAACTGACATCACGCACAGAGAGAAGGGGGGGGGTTATGTCTTGTGCGGCGAAGAAGAGGAGGAGGGGATGGGGGTAAAAAAAAATTAAAATGATTTTTTTTTTTAATTTTCTTTTTATAGTTAGTGTGTATACCAGTGAGATGGTGTGGGGAAGGCCCATGGGGGTTGACTTGGGTCTAATTTTTTAAATTAAATCACTTGGGTTACGTGTACAATAAATCATTGGATGAAAGGCAAATATTGAGAAATAACCAAAGGGGAAAAAAACTACGGCGATGATTGGTTGATATTTATAGACATGGTGGACACCCTTGAAGGCGAAAGTGTTGCTATTTACTTTCTCGTATATACGAAGTATAGAGAAAGTATTGTAATCGTGCACAAAAATCACTTGAAATTTTAACATCTTTCACCGTATTACACCTCAGTCCTTCATCACATCCGAAGTTTAGAGGACTTATTTTAATCGGGCAAAAATTATCAATCCAGATTTATCAAAACTAAGAGGTTTTATGCGTAATCCAGTCTGAAAAACTGGGCTTTGCAATTCTGTCCGTATGTCTGTGTGTCTGTGTGTGTGTGTGTCCGTGTGTAAACACGATAACTTGAGTACCGTTACAGCTAGGTTGATGAAATTTCATATATAAGTATTTTATCAAAATCGTAGATCCGTATCAACTTTTGAGCGATTTCAGATAACCGGAAGTGGTACTTTTTCTACTTTGAATTTTTCAAAAGCCTATAACTTGAGTACTATTTCAGATAGATAAATGAAATTCCACAAGTAAGTATAAGATCTAATTCTCTACCTTATGTTAAATTTTGAGTAGCTTACGTTGACCGGAAGTAGTAATTTACGCTACTTCCGATTTCTCAAAAAACTAATGTAAATTTATTAAGTACTAATACTATTGCGCACTATTATACACACCTTTATTAGGCGTTCGCTTGGTGCGCAATTGTTTTTTACTGAGATTCTATTCTATTTTTAAAAGTTTAAGTATTTAAAATGGATTAAAAATCATAACTATATCCCCAGTTACCATCCCCTGTTGTTTTATATAAGAATATTCGAGAAAGTTTAGGGGAGATCACTACCGGTTTATTTTAACATTTTAACAGAAACGGAATCTCTGCCTCTTATCAGTGTAAGTTCGGTGGTTCTAAAGGTCACAGGTCACAGGTCACCGTGTCATTATAGAAATTCTCACGCCCAGTGACGTCTCGCTTCGTTGACCAAAGGGTGAGCACGGTACAGTAAAACCCCTAATATACAGCTAAGCCCACGGATCAAAGCCCGCGCGCTCACGCGCAAACAACAATTGTTTGAGCAGGCAATTAAATGTTTACCGCTGTATGGCCATTTTATGTGTCACGTGACTTCGTACTAAGAACTAGACGGGTGAGTTAATTGAAAAATTGAGTCAAAATGTCGGTTGGTATTGATTTAATTGAACATATCGAAGAGGAAAAAAAATTGTTTGATTAAAATATTGTTGGAGATGGAATATGTATACAGGAAAAGTACAACAACGCAAATCACTTTAGATTGTTCCATTGGGAAACTGCTGATCCTTTCATCATTTTAGATATTTTAATAAAGTAATCTCTTGACTTTATTTTTATTGTTTACTAGACGACCCAGTTTCCCTTTGGAAATCGGCCTGTCGGCCGCGCTTCACAAGCATTCTTCTTCTTCGTTCTTAAGTATAATGTTGGACGGGAATTACTCAAACTCAATTAAGTATGAAGTGTAAACATGTTATGCGCCGTATAGTGTTGATTTCTATTCCAATCAGCTTTTCTTTCTGGGTTTGCTTCAACAGTCTTTGTACAAGCGTAATTAAAAATTGATTTTCCACTGCGTATCAGCTATAAGGGAAGATAAAAAGATAAATTATTATGACTACATGGATTCCGAACCCGCAACTAATTGGATGGAGATCATAATATCGAATTAAGCACGACGTCACACGTCAAAATAATAAATTTGAGCGTCTTGTTTCTTAATCATAATAGGAAAAATTAAGCCAGTAATAATTTCAATAACATTATATCCCAATTTATTCTATTCCATTGTTTAAGTAACAAAGATTTATATGAATGATTTAAAACCTGAAATAAATTCGCTGAAAACCCCGCCTTCATAAGATTTTTAAAAATTGTTTTAATTAGTCAAATTTTTTTAAAAATATAATAATAAATGCTGAATTTTGTCGAATTAGAATATAGTAATAATAATAATAATAATAATAATAATAATAATAATTATTATTATTATTATTATTATTATTATTATTATTATTATTATTAATAATAATAATAATAATAATAATAATAATAATAATAAAAATAAAAATAATAATAATAATAGTAATAATAATATTAATATTAATAATAATAAGAATAATAATAGTAATAGTAATAATAATAATATCAATACTACTACTACTACTACTACTACTACTACTACTACCACTACTACTACTAATAATAATAATAATAATACTTATTATTATTATTATTAGTATTATAAAACTATTTTAAAACGGTAACAATTGTGTGCACATAGGCATTTTTTCACATACTTATTTTTCATCGTAGTAGTAGCTGATGAGATTTCTCACATTTTAGCAACCAATGTTTGTAATAAAGAGAAAAACGTAATTTGTTTTCTTGAAAATAAGAAAATGAATTCCATTTTTAAAAAAAATTAAAGTTTATTATTATACCGTTTTATTCTTGCTTTATTTATATTTTTTTTACCTTATTATAGCAAAATATAAATACTATTACGAACTATTTTGTTGAAATAAATCCAAGGAGATTAGAATATTGATAAATAAATTAACCCAATTACTAGTTTATAAGTCACGTAACAAGGAGCTTGACTCTAACTTCTTCTAGACCTCTCTAATGGAAGTTTCTTGTCTGAGAAAAATATAATACCCCTCCAAAATTACGGGAAGCTGTGCAATTAATTAATACTTGCACCGAAATAATGGGTTGAGTTATTGATTCTAGTAGTCGAATATGGCTGATTTGATTACTTTTCTTTTTGACGTCGACTGCTAGAGCAAACGAACCGGTTTTTTTTTCAATGTTTGCTGGAAAGGAGAAATCGCTAACGATGGTTGCAAGGTTTACATTACTTGTAACGTGAGTGAGTGTGTGTGTGGGGGGGGGGGGGTGTTGACGTCTAGTTAATTAAATAAGGACGAATTTTTTTTTTACAATGGTCTTTTGAGAAAGGTAGGTTTCTCGTCTGTCAAATTGAAATGGTCGCCAATGTGGCAATGATTGTAATATAAATGCGTGGTTATTTCTGGCAAAGGTTGTAACGTATAGGGTAGGTCTTCATATCTGGTGGGCAGAAAAAGTTGCCAACGTCTCAAACATAATAGCAAGTAAGCTAAACATCATGTGTATTGTTAAGGCGGCCATGTCTCGATAAATTAGAAATAACGCTCCGTAGAACAAACTCTCCATAGAACGAACGCTGCGTAGAACAAACTCTCCATAGAACGAACGCTTCGTAGAACTAGCTCTCCATAGAACGAACGTTCCGATGAACGAACTCCCCGATGAAAGAACGCCGCCGCAACTGTGAAATGATTCAGCTAAAAGAAAAAAAAATATCCTTAATGAGAGCTAGACTGCGAACCCGATTTCTCGAGTTCGAAATTGGGTTCAAATCAGTAGAACGTCCCTGAGTTCACCTAGCTATAAAGGGTACCTAACGGTAGGGAAATAAAGGCGACTGAGCATAGTGATGCCCACATTTTCCCCTTGTATACCGAGGTCATTGAAACAGATGAACTCTACTTCATCTGCCTCGTGTGTTTTGGGCACAAACGGGATAAGATGATGATGATGGTGATGAGAATGATGATGATGATGATGATGGTGATAAGAATGATGATGATGATGATGGTGATGAGAATGATGATGGTGATGATGATGGTGATGAGAATGATGATGATGATGATGGTGCTGCTTCTGCTGCTGCTGATGATGATGACGACGATGATGATGATGATGATGATGATGACGATGATCCACTGTCCATTTTCTCACCTTCCTATCATCAAAATACAGCTCAGACAAACACAACGTACGTGTATAACGTTTTTATAATGTAAATCCTTTATTTCCCCAAATGTCAGCTGGTGAGGGTAGATGACACATGACATTTAGCTGACCACAAGCCCTGCACCATTGACCTACATGACAGAGCAGCTAGCCAACATTACACGCGAATTTGGCAGACTCAAAAAATCGTTTTAACACATTAGTGCTGAAATTTTTATTTTTGTTGAAATAAGTAAACATCGCTCTCAAATCGATGGTCGGAGTTTTCATGCCAACACGAGCATGGCTGATTAGTACATAATTAAAACTTAGTCACAGCAACTGCAATTTTTTCAATATAAAGTTAAGTCATTACGTAGCTAGAACATGATCCAGGGCATTAGACTGTAATACAGATTTGAAGTTAATTGAAAAATAGACAACAGTCTTAATGAGGCATTTGTTTATTTCAAAACTAGATCTAGACTATTTACATAATTTTAAAACATAATATGTTTACCTATTGTGGATTATACAGCTATGATTTAAATTCCCCTTTTCGAACCTAACGATCACTAGGGCAAGTGAAGTAGAGTTCACCTGTTTCTGTGACTTCGGCATATGAAGAGATAGTGTGGGCAGTACTATACCTAGCCACCTTTGCTTAGGTACCCATCAGAGTTGGGTGGTCAGAGCTGGTTGGTCTTGAACCCGGATTTGAACTCGAGACTTTTGGATTAGCTCTGCCACTCAGGGTTAAGGAATTAGAGGCTGAAATAATGTCATAATATAGTTACACTGGTTGGAGGCCACTTTCTCTATCACCAGACAATTTAAAAAATTAATCTAAAAACTAATATTTCTTAAAACATTAATTATTTTTAAAAGTTCATATTTGTCAAAGATCTTTCTTTTTTAAATGCAAAGAATATTCTTAAACGTATATACCAAAAACAAAGTTCAAGAGAAGGGATCGCTGTGAACCACTAGTCATCTTTGCTCCTTGCGGAACAAGGGGCCACAACCATAACTTTCCACTAGCTTGTGGAACTACGGCCTCAACCATACCCTTCCACTAGCTTGTGGAACATAGGGCCTCAACCATACCCTTCCACTAGCTTGTGGAACTACGGCCTCAACCATACCCTTCCACTAGCTTGTGGAACTACGGCCTCAACCATACCCTTCCACTAGCTTGTGGAACTACGGCCTCAACCATACCCTTCCACTAGCTTGTGGAACTAGGGCCTCAACCATACCCTTCCACTAGCTTGTGGAACTACGGCCTCAACCATACCCTTCCACTAGCTTGTGGAACTACGGCCTCAACCATACCCTTCCACTAGCTTGAGAAATACATTGTGACGTATCTAAACAAGCTGAGGTAACTCCCTGACGCCAAGTTCAGCCCGGGCAGAATGATCCTGTTTGAAGTCGTCCCCAACTTACCGAACGGGTTGCAGGTAGCACTGTAGCTCAAAAGCCCCGTGGGGTAGCCACTAAACCACCAGCCCGCGCCGTAATCGGCGGCCAGACTAATCAGCGAAAATGGGTCGTTGTCGTCATCCCAGGTCGAGAAGGAGGTCGATTGTTCTATGCAGGGGTTGACGTTGGAGCAGAAGGTAGGGCTGGAGCCGAGACAATCGACTGTCTGGTACACAATGGTGTAGGCGTTCAGCCCGTTCTGGATCACCACGCCCGAGTAGGTCCACACAAGAGAGGTGCCGTTATCGAACGCGGTCTCGATTTTCATCCGCGCGAACCCGTTTTGGGTCAAGTAGCGAATGTTGTCCAAACCGGCCCAGAAGTTGCTGTCGTCGATGTGGTACCCGTTGGCGTACTCAGACCAGGTTTTGTTGTGGTCGAGCCGGCCGTTGTTTCGACCAAAGTGCATGTTGGATCCAGCGGAAGTGACGTCACAAAACACGACGGCGACGCTGTATAGTTTCATGTAGACTTTGTAAACCCCAGGTGGGAGTCCTTGTTTGGTGAGGTCGGAGCAGTTTCGGGGCGGGGTATCACAGTACGCCCCCGTCCAGCCCGTTTTACACGTGCACGCGTGAGTCGTGAAGTTGTACGCACCCATCGAGCCGCAGCTCATGGAACCGGAAGTTCCAGGTTTCTTGTACACCTTGACCCTCACGACATCACCGGTCAGGCAATCCTTACCGAATCTGAGAACGTCGCACGGCCCGTAGACGTAGCACCTGCCCGTGGCGTCCTTGACGACGCCAACGCACCAGCTGCGGGAGCTGCAGAAGGCGGTGCACTGCAGGAAGCTGCGCGACTCCCGGAAGTCCATGCAATACGTCATCGCCAACGTTTCATTGGCCGGGGAGTAGCACGCGTCTTCTTTGACGTAGTCCGTGGACGATATCCTACTTTCGCTTTCATTTCCAGTAAGAATTAATAGCACAAAAAGGGCAGTAACTTCTACAGCTGGACTAGATTCCATTGTACCTATAAACTTTTGATTATTAGTGTAGTAAAACTGTTCAAATTATTAACGACGTTTTCATATTAATTAATATGTACTCGTTTTTTTTTTTGTTTTTTTTTTTTTGTAGATCATTTGACTAAACAAAACAATTCATTATTTTCTTCTTAATTATAAATGTGTCTTATGTTTAAGTAGTTATTATTCATCATTGTTTTTTTTTTAAATTTCATTCTAACTTAGTGGTCGCAAATAAAAGTCACTCATTATCAATAACTTAATAATATAAAATTATTTCTTTTTCTAAAATAAAGAAATAATTTTAAAATATCTATCCACCACAAGTAAAACACAATTTATTTATACGCATCTGTAAGGTTTCTTTACTAAAACTTCACCAATAAAGAATGTTCAAACATCTAGTAAGTAAATACAAACAACAGTTCTGCTGGGCATCTCGGCACAGTCCACACAAATAACTGAGTCTCGTCTCAGACTCCGTGACTGCTCCAAGTGCCAATCTGGCAAATCTTATATGTAGTTTCCTGTAGCCAGGAAATATCATGGAAAGATCGGCTTAAGTTGCCCATTCAATCCGTGCACCACAGATGGATAACATGGGGGTGGGGGGGGGGGGGGTATGGGGTTCCCGCGCTGTTTCTATAGACGGGTGTAATTTTAAGAACAGAGTAGAAAACAAATACTATAATGGCCATGGTTTTCACCATTTATTTTTACTTTATAACACTGTAAACATGGCATTCTATTTTTACTGGACTGTAAATAAATATCAGCTATTGATTAAAAGTATAGTATAAATTATTAAGTCTAGTAAAAATTACAAAATAAAACATGTTTGACATAGAAATTTTAGTTTTATTGAGTGTGAATGCTATGCTATGCTATGCTATGCTATGCTATGCTATGCTATGCTATGCTATGCTATGCTATGCTATGCTATGCTATGCTATGCTATGCTATGCTATGCTATGCTATGCTATGCTAGGCTATGCTAGGCTATGCTAGGCTATGCTAGGCTATGCTAGGCTATGCTATGCTAGGCTACGCTAGGCTACGCTATGTTGTGCTACGCTGTGCTACGCTGTGCTATGCTATGCTGTGCTATGCTATGCTATAGTAGGGCCTACATGTATAAGGTCTTATAGATCTAACAGTTTGTACCCATGTTTGTGTGAAACAATCAACAAACTTTCCCCGTCTAGGTATATGCAAGTCTATAAAGAAATAGAAAAGAAAGGCGCCTCTTGAAATGTGGGCTTACGCAATGTTAATATTACATAGAACATCTTCAAAATCATTGTTATATGAGGGGTTTTATTCGATACATCATTGGTATACGTAGTTATTTTATTTCTTTTAGTAACAACCGATCTTTAATCATCTGTTAAGACCCTTTGCAAACATTTTGACTCGAATGTTAATTCAGTACTAACAAGCATTTTTTTCAAAATCACTACAGCAGCAAAAAATGGATATTAAGGTGTTATTGATTCATCGGTGTTTGTTTTTTCTTATTGGTAATATCAACAAAGAATTAAAAATGAACATTGTGTTTACAAGTTTAATTGCTTAATTCAATCTTTATAATAAGATAAAACTAACTATATCTGAAAATATATTCAAAACTAAACTAAAACAATTATTTAATGATCTCCTTAACTGACTAATTGCAACATTTCTCATTTCGTCTATTATATTCTCATCCTATCTCATTTTTTATTATAACCAGAGGCGTAGAGAGGGGGGGGGGGGGCGGGGGGGGTGTGGATAGCACCAGGTGACACCTTTTAGGGGGGTGACACCAAGGCAATAAATAGCAAAATATATAGAGAAAAACTTGAGCGGGGGTGCAAATCGAAAGTTTGAGGGAGGGGGGGGGGGTGCAAATCAAAAGTTTGAAGGGGGTTGCAAAAGTTTGAAAGTTTGTCCCCGGGAAGGGTCGCTACGCCTCTGGGGGGTGACACCCGACCTCGCTACGCCACTGATTATAACTATGTAATATTACTTCTTAATTCAATTTTTTTTAAATTTAAAATAAAAGTTATTATGTTTTTAAATAAAGCGGCCAATGTGGACAAAAGGTCTCCGTGTCCCTCCCTCCCCCCCCCCCCCCCCCCCTTAAGAGAAAAAAGTCTGGAAGAAACACTATTCCATGCCAACTGTTGTTACCATTATTAAATTATTAAATAAATTGAATAAATTGTGATGCATTTAATCGTAATTTATCGTTATTTCTGTTACGAAAACCTGGTTAAGGGGTCGTCCATAAATGACGTCACACTCGTAGGGGTTAGGGGGGTCCGTAATTTTGTGACGGTGTGTGATGAGGGGGAGGGGGGTCAGATGGTGCGACGTCACACTTTTGCATTATAAAAAGCCATGTTAGAAAACTAATTTTAGACGTTATTTCGGGTTTTAGAAAACTGTTTTAATAAATTCTAATAGGAATTTATTAAAATACTCTATATAAACAGAGTTCAGACAAGATTTTGGAAAAATATCAATGTTTTATGAAAAATTCAACTGCAATTTTCAGGAGGATTGTAGACTAAGGTGGGACGTCATTTTAGGGGTGGGGGTCTGGCTTTTTGTGACAATGTGTGACGGAGGGGAGGGGGGGGGGAGGTAAAAATTGTCCAAAAATGCGTGACGTCATTTATGGATGACCCCTAAGTCGTTTATAAATAGACGAGATGCTAAAACTTGTATTGTTTTTTCTGGTCAGATTTTTTTTTACAAATCTCTAGTTTTAAAACATTTTTATTTGGACGTAACGTATCGACAAGAAATAGAAAACGAACACAGTTCAACCAAGTTTTCGATTTGCTGCTGTTTAATTTTCATTAAAAATATGTTTTTTTAAATAAACATGGCTATACATTGCAAAACTGAATTTGGTATTACGTCTTAGTCGTATGCTGGGGTGGACTGGCTGTATCCAAAAGGCCAAAAAAAAATTTAAAGCCCCCCCCCACCCCCCCCACACCCCCCCCCCCCCCCCCAACCCCAGATTGAAATTTTTTCACTGTGCATATTTTCTCCATCAAATCATGCGTTTCACTTTCTGGTATGAGGAATGGTAAAATACCAGCAATTAAAAAAAATCTAATAGGACCAATGCTCCTGTAAGCTCACCGAGATTTTTTTTCATAAGGGAACACCGGGAATTTTTCCGGTAGAACGGCGGGCCAGTCCACCCCTGGTCGTATACTAAAATACAAAATAATACATTATTTTCTTAAAAACGTTTTTTTTTGGTATCTGATTACTAAGCTCATACATCATTGTATCAACGTTGTTTATTTTTCTGCCAGTATTGTTGACTTCAGCTAGTGTTAGGGATAGGAATAGGCTAGGGATACGAGTAGGCATTGGATTATGATTAGGCTTTGGATTTAGTATTAATGGAATGTTTAGGGATAACATATTACAGTGAAATGCTTAGTGCATCAATACTAACACACACACACATACATACGCACACACAAACATGTAATTTTCGATAGCCTTTACAGAAAAAAATAGAACGTATTTTTTTAAAAACACGAACGTTTTGAAATTATGTTAAAACAGCTATACCTACGTAGACGATTGTGTTGCGATGTTGGAGCAACTGTACCAACCTACACCACCACGAATCTCACTTGTAATAGTACATAGCAACATAGATCATTGTGTTGTGATGTTGTAACAACTGTACCCACCTACACCACCGCCATCCTCACTTGTAGAAGTACATACCTATATAGACCATTGTGATGTGATGTTGGAGCAACTGTACCCATCCTCACTTGTAGAAGTACATACCTACATAGACCATTGTGTTGTGATGTTGTAACAACTGTACCCACCTACTTCCCAGCGAATCTCACTTGTAGAAGTACATACCTACATAGACCATTGTGTTGTGATGTTGGAGCAACTGTACCCACCTACACCGCCATCCTCACTTGTAAAAGTACATACCAACATGCTGGAAGACGCCAGACACGCTGCTCATGTCTACACCCGGCAGGATGATTTTACCATACCCCGTGGACGACACCAGCCCGGGCAACCTCCCCAGGGGGTTGCAGACCAGCGCGCCCCCCGAGAACCAGCTGGTGTCGTCATACCACCACCCCGCCTGCCCCTTCTCTGCCAGGTTGCTGAGGTTCCAGTCATTGTCGTTGTCGATGGTGGAGAACGATTTCCCCGAAACGACGCAGTTTTTGTTGGTAGCGTCGCAAAGCGTGACGTTCTTGGCGTCACATTTGTAGCCGGTGTACGTCAGAGCGTAGTCTTTGAAACTGGAGACTTGGATAGCGACGCCGCTGTAGGTCCAGATGAGGTAGGGTGAGCTGGCGTTGGAAAACTGGATGAAGATTCTCATCGATGTGAAGCCGCCGCTGATCAAACTCCGCATGTTGTCTAAACCGATCCAAAAATTGTTGTCGTCGATTGCGTAACCTTTGACGAATTCCGCCCAGGTTTTGTTGTGATATGCTTTACCGTCGTTGCGAAAAGCGTGAATTTTTTCGCTGCTGTTCGTTATGTCACAGATCGTCCGCACGACGCTGGAGAGTTTCAAATCCGTCCAGAAAACACCGGAAGTGGTGACGTTTGCGCAGGTTTTGGGCGGCTCGTCGCAGAGTGGCCCGGACCATCCCGGCAGACAAACACAGGAAGTCGTTCTACTACTGTAAGTTCCGCCGGGACCGCATGTAGTCGTGTTTACAGGTTTCCGATACACGTACAGTTTTAAACTGTCAGAACCTGCCGTGCAGTTCACGTCGAAGTTTAAATACCCGCACGCGCTGTAGAAGTAAACTTTCCCGGAAGTATCCTTGACCGCGCCTTGACATAATGGGTCAGCATTGCAGCGAGAAACACAGCTTAAAAAACTTGTGGTGGTTGTTGTGTAGTTTAAGCAATTTGAAAACACGAGGGTTTGGTTGGATTTGGAGTAACATGCGAGTTCCCTTCTGTAGGATTTGGTAGAAATGTTTTGACCCAGC